AGCCGCCGCCGCTGCCGCTCTAGCACAGGCGGAGACACAGAGACACACAGACTCTGAGAGCAGTTTTCGTGCAACTCAAAATTAGCGCGGGCAGGTTTAACATCGATAATCGGCCGCGAAATGATCCCGGCGGCCGGGGGCACTGCCTCGGCCCCGTCGCCCTCGGTTTATATAGCTAACAAAAGAAACCAGGACCTGTCTCCAAATAGCCATCTTAGGCTTCAAGGCTAGGCAGAAGCTGTAGGCCTCAAAGAAGGGCCTATGGAGATGGATAGATCTGGGAGAGGGATCCGGATCGGCCCCGGCCCCGGCCCCCCCTGGAACCCGCGGACGTCGCTGTCCGGAACACTATTGATCCTTTTGAACTTTTTCTTTTTTTTCTTTAGTGTAAACGGACCGCGTTGAGATTTAAAAGGGGGCGACAGAGGGACTTGCGATTGGTTATTGTCCGGGCTTCAAAAACAAAACACCCCCCCCCAACAAAACAAGTGCTGCTAAATACTGGGCTCTGCTATGAAAACGCAGGGATTCAGGCAGCCCTTGGGTAGCAACTCTCAGGGATCGATCCAAACACCCCCTGATGGCTGGGGCATCTACGGATCTCTGCAGAATGGGTATTTATTTCATAGTTAGGCAAGGGTTTTCATGGACTGGGCACTTTCAGACAAGTGTGCCTGTGTTTTTAACAGGTTTCTGAGAAGAATCAGTGGGGAGAAATTGTTGAAGAGTTCAACTTTCCCAGAAGTTGTTCTAACGCTGCCTTTGCTTTAAAACAGTATTACTTACGGTGAGTAGTTTGACTTTTCCACAGTATTTGGAAATAAGGGACTTATGGGAAGGTTTTTTTTTTTTTTTTTTAACAAAGGCAAAAACAAAAAACCTTGCACACCAGTTTTTAATCTCCTGTTAATTTCAGTTTAAGAAACACTTAATATCCATAAGATGAAATTGCAAGACATTTTCTTCATCTATTTTAGGATCAATTCTATTTTTCATATAAAATAATTAAAGGTGACACCCCTCCCTCCTGTCTTGATAGACATTCTTTTGTGACGTTATTATTGATTGCTTAATTTCCACTGAGGGGCAGAGAGGTGATGCTTAGTGAAAGACTTAAGATAGTTAATGAAACTTTGTAACCTTTAGGACATTTTTTTTCTTTGTTTTGAAAACTCCAGCTTTTTAAAATTCTGACTTTCAGAATTAAAAAAACTTGTTGGGACTCTGTCATGAAGTAGCTTTTCAATGCAGTATTTCTACATAGCATAATATGTGGGTGCCTGAGATGATTGTACTTAGAATGATAGTTTGTTGAATTTCTGAGCGACTTAAATATGTTCAGTGTCTTTAGGAAAATGGGGATACTATGAAATCGGATACTATGGTTAGGATTTTCTTTCACTCCCTTTTATTTTTGGACTGCTTGGTTTGTGATATAGACCAAATGATATATTTTGTGATTTAGCTTCATTTTTTTCTCCAAGTGTTTTCTGTAGTACTATTTTCATATTGTAATTTATTATGAGGTGATCTTTTTTTTTTTTTTTTTGATCTCCCAAAGAAGATCCTTAGTTGGTTGTTATTTAAAACTAAAAAAAATTCTTTGTATTTATTGCTTTCTAATAAATTTTGACAATAGTGATATGATAACTTTCTTTTGTAATATAGTTTTCTGCCTAATTTCATTTTTGTGTTGTTACTTCAGGTGCACTTGAAGAGTTATTCTGTGTTATGTTCAGCATTCTGAAATAGGAAATGCAGTAATTGCACAGGTGTACTTTCTATTGGCTGTCTTAGATTGACTTCAGGCTTGAAACTAAAGAGTTCCCAGAACTTTGTGGAGTGGTTATTGAGTTCCACAGAAAGTCTAGAAATTATTAAATATGGTTAGTTGTTATCTACAGTGGTGTTTCTGTGTAATGGCATGTGTGTTGGGATACATTTTTAAATAAAGGGATAAGTCAAAACCAAAAACAAAACAAAATTAACCTCATAGTGTTTATTTAGTAACAGAGTGAGGAAGAGAGTTTTGTGTTTGTGATACTTGCTGATTTCCATTTCTAATACTGAGAGTTACATGTTAGTGCATATTCTGGTTTTACTCTAATCAAGTTAAACAATTAGATTTTATACTATTTAGAATGTTTGAGTGACTGAATTTTCATATTCTAAAGGTACTGCATGATATATACAGATCACCAGAGGTGTATATTTCTGAAGAATTTACATTTGTACTAAGTTTTAGGATAATCAACTACATGGGCTTCAGTTTTTTTGCATAAATTAATTATGAATAGTTTTTCCGGTTTTTCTATCTTGGGATCATATCATCCATTAGTTAAACTTATAGGTAGAATTTTTAACTATATAGTTTCAAGGTTATAAGTATTTACATTGTTTTCAGATCAGTTTGGGCTTTATGTTCTTGCTAGAAGCTGCTTTTGAACTATGTCCTTAGCTAAACTTGTTTTTCCTCCATATGTCACTCTCCAGGTTTGTTTTTGTAGGGTTGTAACTAGGCTACTAAGAAAAAAGTTGAAGCATTTGTTTTGGAAAATAAAACCATGTGAAGATTTGCATGGCTTATAAAGAAATACAAAAGAAATAGGCTGATCAAAAATTGAATACTACCAACCTTGAAAGAACTTTCCCTAGTGGTGTAATATTGCACAGTTAGAGGGTATGTATTATGCTGGGTTTTACACCCTACTCTGAAAAAGCTTAACTGGTAGACCAGGTGCCAAGCTTTAACAGTAATTTTGTTATTTAACTGTAAGAGTGCCTCTTCATAGTAAAAAATAGTAATCAAGTAACTTGATAAGTTACCTCTTTGCTACATCAAAGTGAATATGATTTCTGCTGGGTAGTAATGTAGTGTGTTTTATAAATCACAGATGTAATAATTTTTTTAATAATGAGCTTTTTTCTCTTGACCTATCGGAAGACTATCATTACATGTGTTCTCCTTACTTTACAAGTTTAGTATTTGCTCACATTCTCCTTTTACTTATTAATTGGATGGATGGCTCTTAGCCTAATATATATGATATATCTTCACAATACAGTAGACATTAAGTAGGAGCAAACTAGTATGTATATGCCGACTAGGATATATAATGTCTAACAGTTTTAATTTTTATTATAAACCTAGGCATTCAATATAGAAACTTGAGTTTATTGGTCTGCCAAAAATTAGATTGATTGCATTAAACATATATTTATGCAGTTGTAGATTGTTTACAAAAATTTCATTCTAAAATTGAAAATGCAGTTGATTTTGTAACATCATTTACTTTTTAAAAATATAAATGCTTATTTATACTATGTTAAGGTTTCTAAATATTGAGTGTTGCTTGTTTGTCTACTTTTTGTTCCTTTTTTGGCATGTATATGTTAATGTTTCCATAATGTTTTATTAAAATATCGCTAAATACAAAGAACGAATGTAATTCAGTAATATTTAATCTATTTTGAATTCAGTTTTTTAGAAATGATTTTAATGAAATATAATTGAAAATTATATGTGGTCAGATTTATGCCCAAGTATCAGTGCTCATTGTGTTCAATATTCACTTCGTGAATTTTATTTTATTTTATTTTTTGTTCTATTTTGGTACAAAGATTGGAGACAATTTGCTACTCTTATTTGGGCTAAGAATTTGAAGCTTTGGTATGAAGATTTAGGTAAATATTTCAAGTATTTAGTTGAAGAATTTTGTTTTTACTTAATGATGACAATAATACAGTTATTGTCAAGGTTAACTTGATGTTTCCTTTATAAAACTAGATTTTTTGTAATAGAGATAAAATATCTTGGGCATTAAATATTTATTGTGTAATACTATATGATGTTTTCTTGATTTAACTTAAAAGATTTAAAAAATGTATCTACCTTTAGAAAGTAACAAACTTAATTATAGTTGTGCTCACCATAGTGAATTTTAAATTGCATTGTGAATTTTTTTTTTTTTTTTTTTTTTTTGTCTGTTGAGTAAAGCCCTTTAAATTACATCAGTAGAGGGAGTTCACGTATATCTGTTAAGTGACATGAATATACTCATGATTCCATAGTTAGTGTCCACCATGTAGATCACTTGTTTTAATAGAAGCTGTTTTTTATGAATCACTTAAAGTTGAGTAAATGAATTCTTCAGAATTGAAATAAATGAATAAAGTAACACGTTGAGTTTATGAATTGCTAAACAGAACTGGATAAACATTACTCTCCTCTTTCAAGAAAGGAAAATAAAAGCTGTAAATACAGAGACTGGAAGAACAACTGAACAGCTATTCATATAAGTATTTTAAATTTAATTTTATAAGCAGCATCTCCCTGTTTTGAACAAACCCCCTTTTGATATTTTCAGATACTATGTTACATTTTTCAAAGGCACACAGACTTATTGAAAGTAGGAGTAGAAAGTGGAGAAAGTTGAAAGACTGATGAAAAGATTAGCTGCACTAGTGTGTTATGTCTTAGAATTCACGTTTTTAGTAGAAATAACTCTGCTGCTTTCCAAATTTTATTGAAGATCCAGACTGAGAAACTTTGTAATTCCCAAAATGTTTGTGCTTTTTCTCTTTCTTTCTTTCTTTCTTTTTTTTTTTTTTTTTTTTTTTTTTTTTTTTTTTTTTTTTTTTTTTCTTTCCTTTTTTTAAAATTTTTTTTTTTTTTTTTTTTTTTTTTTTTTTTTTTTTTTTTTTTTTTTTTTTTTGCATCTAAGTTTTATGCCTTAGCCATTAATTAGAAATGTCTGTTTTTGAATAGAAGCACTGTTTGTTTTGTGGTACTGGGGACTGAGCCCAAGGCCTTGTGCATGCCAGACAAATGCCCTTCCACTAAGCTGCATCCCTAGCCTAAACGTACTCTGGTATAATCTTACCTCTCTGCTCTGTTGTGGATTCAGTATTTTGATAGTTGATTGTATGTAAAATCCAGTATAAGTCTTTGGTCGAAGACCTTAGTAATAGTAGTAATACTATGGATCTTTTCGTATACTGAATAAAGGTGAAAGTTGAAAAAGGAAGGAAAAATAAAAATTTTAATTCCTTGGAATTCAAGTGCATTAGTCAGTAAGTACTTTTTGATTTGGTTTGGTTTGGTTTGGTTTGGTGTGTGGTGCTGAGGGTCAAACTCAGGGCTTCGCTTCACTCACACTAGGCAGGTGTTCTACCCCTGAGCAACACCCCCAGCTGCATTATCATTTTGTGAGATCTGCTTATTGTGCATTTTTCAGCTATACTAAAGATGAATGATCAAAAAAGGATTTTGTTTGAATTGGAATTAGAGGACGTGAGGGAGTATAGGGTAAGGGCCAGTGATTTGCTCTGCTTTTGCTTCTTTGATCTGTCATCATCATCGCCACATTCTTTGGTATTGGAGGTCAGAGTAGAAATTCCTAATTTGTGCTCTATGAAACACTGGTTTTGCTCAGATGTCTTTACAAGAAAGGCCGGATGCTTTTGAGTAGTAAAGCTAGGGCTGGGTTAAATTTTGGGACTTCTTAGAGACTTTGTTTTGTTAATGTTTGTTGTAAATCTCCAGAAAATTTGGAGATTCCCACTCTATTCATAGTAAATGGTTTTTCCTAAACACCACCATATGCTAATATAGATATGGAACCCCATGTTTTGGGAAGACCCACAAAATTTGTTGGAGCACAGTTTAGAGACATTGAGCCAGAAGGAACAGGAGTTAAGAAAAATTTTAATGTGAAAATGAGGTAATTATATGCATGTTTCTGTAATGATATACAAATAAAACTTGAAATAATTTTTAGGGAGCTG